AAGACAAACACCAACAAAAAATTGAAACCAAAATTTACTTCAAACAAGATTTTCAACTTGTGTACAATTTCTTATACATATCCTTTTCTTGTATAAGAGAAAGCAAATTGGATTATCTCTTCTTATGAAAACAAAACTCTTGATCTTATTTAAGCAAGAACCTCACAAACTCTCTTATATTCGCATTTTCTCTTAAGGCATATTCATTTTGGTTAAAGCTAAAGACTTTAAGAGATCGGAGAGAGAGAGATATGGAGAAAATGAGAGGACATGTATTGGCAGTGCCATATCAAACTCAAGGACACATTACACCAATCCGCCAATTCTGCAAACGACTTCACTCCAAAGGTCTCAAAATCACCCTTACTCTCACCACTTTCATCTTTAACTCCATCAAGCCTGACCCATCTAGTCCAATCTCCATAGCCACCATCTCTGATGGCTATGACCAAGGCGGCTTCGAATCAGCCAGCTCCATCCACGACTACCTCCAAAACTTCAAAGCATTTGGCTCCAAAACCATTGCAGATATCATTAGAAAACACCAGACTAGTGATAACCCTATTACTTGTATTGTCTATGATGCTTTCATGCCTTGGGCACTCGATGTTGCTCGAGAGTTTGGTTTAGCTGGAGCTCCTTTCTTTACGCAGTCTTGTGCTGTTAACTATGTTTATTATCTTTCTTACATAAACCATGGAAACTTGAAGCTTCCTATTGAAGACTTGCCTTTTCTTGAGCTCCAAGATTTGCCTTCTTTCTTCTCTGTTTCTGGATCTTATCCTGCTTACTTGGAGATGTTGCTTCAACAGTTTATAAACTTTGAGAAAGCTGATTATGTACTCGTTAATACATTCCAAGGGCTGGAATTTCATGTTAGATCTCTCTCTCCATCTCTTTCTTACAACTTCTTTCATCATTTCTTGTTCAAGTTCATGTCCTAATTACTTTGTTTTTTTGGTACAGGAGAAGGAGTTATTGTCGAAAGTTTGTCCTGTGTTGACTATTGGTCCGACTGTTCCATCAATGTACTCAGACCAAAGGATCAAATCAGACACCGACTACGATCTGAATCTCTTTGATTTGAAAGGTGATGCCTTATGCACTAACTGGCTTGACACTAGGCCACAAGGGTCAGTGGTGTATGTAGCGTTTGGGAGTTTGGCTCAGCTGAATTATGTGCAGATGGAGGAGCTTGCTTTAGCAGTAAGCAACTTTAGCTTTCTTTGGGTGGTCAGATCTTCGGAGGAGGCAAAACTTCCATCAGGGTTTCTTGAGACAGTGGATAAAGACAAAAGCTTGGTCATGAAATGGAGTCCTCAGCTTCAAGTTCTGTCAAACAAAGCCATCGGTTGTTTCTTGACTCATTGTGGCTGGAACTCAACTATGGAGGCATTGACCTTTGGGGTTCCAATGGTGGCTATGCCTCAATGGACCGATCAACCGATGAACGCAAAGTACATACAAGATGTGTGGAAGGCTGGAGTTTGTGTGAAGACAGCTAGAGAAAATGGAATTGCCAAGAGAGAGGAGATTGAGTTTAGCATTAAGGAAGTGATGGAAGGAGAAAAGAGCAAAGAGATTAAGAAGAACGCGGAAAAATGGAGAGACTTGGCTGTCAAGTCACTTAGTGAAGGAGGCTCTACAGATATCAATATTGACGCATTTGTATCAAAGGTTCAAACCATATAAGTTTTTATGCAAATGATGAAGTACAAAAATTTAAATAAAATTACAAAATAAAACAATTAATTCAAACAAACATATAAATATTTACTTTGAAAAAATTAACAAAACAAATTTATATTAGTATATATATAAAATACATAAAT